ACTAATTAAACCTGAATAAGCCAGAAATAAATTTTAACATCATGTAATTTGTTTTAAAATTCTGTTTTGAAAATGAATTGAAATTATATGTAGTAGAACGACTTTTACATTCGTTATACTTGTGTCACGTTTTTTTATACGAGTCATACAATATTTATAGCGATTTTTTGAGTGTTATTTACTCAAAATTTGGCAATCTTCAAAATGTTTTATTTTTCTATTAATAAAGATTCACACACTTGGCAGAGAATTTTATTTATTTATGTTTACAGTATGTTTCGCCATTTATTCCAAAAATGTAATTATTTTCGTTCAATTACTGTTTGTACACAGTGTATTCCAGAAATTAACCAATTGTTATTAACATTTCTGCAAATTTTTATGTTAAATTTGTTGTGCGAACTGATACCAAAACTTTCAGTAAAATATAAGTTTACGACATTAATTTGCAAAAACAACAAAACTTCGGACGTTGAATAATTTCTCAACAACAATAATGCTGCAATACTACTGCATCCCAGTACAAAGATGTACATTATCAGAATTATGTATACTATTTTGTGACCTCCTGATCTTAGTAAATACTAGCATAATTGAATTAAGGTAAAAACAGCTTGAATATTTGTAATACACTTTGTAGCAATTATTTTATACTTTATGAAATTTTTAAATCGATTAAATTTCTGTTTGCAAAATTATTGGCATTCTGCCAAAAACCAATGATTTCAATGAACCGTATAGACGTGAACAATATTGGTAACATACGATTAATGTATGCTTAACACAATTTAAAACATGTAGTTGATTTATTGTGTCAACGTACACATCAAGAAATATTAAAGCTAAATACAAAATCATGAAAGAGTCATGAATGTTTAAAATTCAAAAAGTAGAATAATAAACCTTTTCTCTTTTACATTTGTAAATTTTATTCACAAATTTTAAATTAAAATTGTTTAAATAAAATTTAATTATTTCTCGATTTTCTTCACACACATTTTTTTTATATTTATACAAAGTAATCGATAACGCGATTATTATCAGCATGAAACCGAGGGAATTTTTTTAATATTTAAGGTTATTTAAACAAAATGGGAATACTTTCATATTATTATCTCAAGTTTAATTCAGCGATTAAAATTAAAATTCGCCTTTTAATTTAATTTCTTATTGGAATATTGAAGCATAATGCTCGCATTAATATTAATGAACAAACTTGTACACAATTTAGAATAATGCAAAATCTCTTTTAATTTATATCGTAATTCCATAATATTATTAAAATTTACTCAAAAATTTTAAAATTTAAGAAAAATTTTTATAAGTTTTAAATGATAATAATTTCAAGAATTAATTGAGTCCATTATACTTTTAATCATCAATAAAGCACGTAATCAAGGTAATTGTTAAATTTTAAATATAAGAAATTATTACCTAGATGTATATGCGTATGTGAATATTGTACGTATACGTCACATCTCGTAAAATAGTGAAATAATTATTTTTTTTTTCTGCAGTAATTTTTTGTACATTATGAATACGCGGTGCATTTTTAATTCAAGATTATCTTACACATTTACATTTTAATTATCATAAATTATTTCTCAAAGATCTTATAAAATCTTATATATAAAATCACACAATTTGTTCACATCAGAAGGTGACATCAATTAAAACAGATATGCAATCCAAATATGTTAAATTTTATTTTAAAATTAACGTCATCATTTTATTTTAAAATTTATTATGGTTTTTATTAAATATATATACATAATATTATGTAAACTATGGATTATGTATATATATGTGTTTTCTGAAATTCAAAATATATCAATAGCGATAATGTGTACCCGTAAATGTTTTAAATACCATCTAAAATTTTTAATACAAGATCCCCAATAGTTCATAACTTTCTCTATGTACGACTTTGAAAATAAGCTTTATCAGCAAAATAATGACTTCAATATTGTATGAAAACTTAAAACTTAATCATGTAATTTGCGTTACAAATCCTCTAAACCGCATATGGTCATAGACGGCCAAAGGCCATTTTCGCTTTCCGCAATATTTGGTATATGCCTTGTTTTGTTTTTTATCCGCCTCCGATGCTTTCATGGTAGTTGAATTAGGGCAAGTCCTAAACTTGGATGCCGACTTCTGCAGCTTTCCTATTTATGATGTTCATTTTGGTCTGCGCATATCCGCATACGTCTGAGCTAAAAAGCAGATATCGCCTATAAACTCAAGATCGCATTTTTGATACTCTTAGGCCATTCATGGTTTTCAAGTAATTTCTCAATATTTTCAATATTTAAGCAATATTAGAGAATCATTTACAAAATGTCAAAATATTATTCATATCGATAATACGTCAAATCAAATGCTATTTGTACTTTATTTGTATAGCTAGTACCATTTCTCGAAATCATTATTTTCTAGTTTTTTATAATATTAACTATTAAATAGGTTGCTCACAACTCAGCGCTTCAAAAACTTAATTTTTATCAAATTTTAAATCTAAACTTCAAAGTCAATTTAGTAAACAAAGTTTTCTTGAAAATATACATACATATAAATATACATATAAATATTTAACTATCTGTAAATTTTAATGTCGGGTCGGCTAGAATTTTATTTGTGTCGCTCTAACATTAAGTTAAAACATAAAAAATAATTATTCTAATACTCTAAAATTAACCAAACCAATATGATGTTTTTAAATACAAATTCTTGATGATTTTTTTTTAATTAATTGCATTTTTTGATACAGCAGTAATTTTAAATGCACAATCATGTACGTTCTAAAAATCTTATTAAAAATATTACAAAATATAATTTAAAGTTCAAGTCTACAAATCTGCACACGCATACTCCCCTTGTTCAGTAATATATAATTATTTGTTATACATGCAAGCGTATATAATAACTACTAACACACAATAAAAAAGAATCTTCATTTTGTTCATAAGCATTTAAGCCTATCTTTAAAATTACATAAAATATGCGCACAATTATTGTAACATAAAGTAGCACAAAATATTTTAAACCGGCATGCCACTCATAATATTAATATAAATGTTATACCAGTTATGCTTACATATATTATTAAAATAATGTATGCACATTCATTATTATAACATTGATGATATAATTGAGTTGAAATAAATAAAAAAAAACCAGTAATGAAAATATTTTGTTTTCCTTTTTATTTCATATTTTATTTCAAATATAATTTTTCTTAATAGACCCACAATATATTATGTACATGGTAGTAGTATGCATTTAAAAATAAAGTGTTTCATGCCAAGAATATTAATTAATAATTTTATTTTTTAACTTAAATTTAGTTCAGTAAAATATGAATGAGAAAACATTATTATTCCATTCAACTACTTACATCAACTGCTACTATACTTGTTTTATATTTAAGTTGCTGAATTACTTTAAAATTTATTTAACTGCATTTTACGAGTATCACTCTGTACTTATTTACTCAGTCAACAGTAGTAGTTATTACTACTATGTTTTGTGATCTTCATTCTTCAACTCAATATTATTATTATGGATATAGAAAATCAAATTGCTGACATATTATTGAAAATGAGAGTTTTACTCTCACTCTCAATACAATTTATAAATTTCAATATACTCTAAATATACAATATTTTCATTATAATACTTACCGTCATGAAGCTTACATGACATAATATTTTTATTTTTTGTTTTGAATTTATCATAATCATCTTTTTTACATTCCCATTTTTCCTACCTTATTCTTCTCAAAATAATACGTTATATGTATGTATGTATGTATTGTACATAATATGCTGGCTTAGCTGGTATCTATGTACATTTTGCTGACTAACATCTTGTTTACAATGCTATCTCTCATGCGATATTTCTTGCAGATTTACTTATAATAGCTACTACTAAAAAAAATTAAATAAAATGTTTTTTATGAGAAAAGGTTTGATCAAAGCACTTATAGGATATTTTGGAATTAATATTAAAAAAGGCAAATTTTGTCGGACATAGAATAATATTACTAATTTCCAAATTATTATAAAAGTAAGTTGAAAGATGTGAAAATATTGTATCGTAATTTCAAAAGTGGAGAATGTTCACAAAATTTGTTAAAATTTAAAAAGAATGCTTGCAAACTTTTGAAAATGATTAGAAAATAAATGCACTCTGTTTATGCGCTTGTTCGTGCGTCAACTAAATAACCTTATGCAATCGGAAACATGAGATAAAAATAATCTTTACAAGAAAACGCCTTCAAATTCCACAGCGAAAAAAAACAGTGACTTGTTCTTCAATCGCAAAACAACCCACAGCCATAAAAATTTTAATGTCAAAATGACTTTTGGAATTGGAATCTTTATTTTTTCGAAGCTGCTAGGCGTTTTTAAATTTCTGTAAAAACAAAAAAATAGTGGTAATCGCCTTTTCATCAAAAAATATTATGCCATTTTAAAATTTTTAAAATGCTTTTTTAAAAATTTTCCCCTACCCATAAAAATATGCCATATTTGTTCGCGCTAGCTTTTCAACCAAGTTAACATTCTGTCTTTTTCTATGAAAAATTTAATATTCATTTGATATATACATTGATCGCAAAATATATAAAACGTGTTACAATCCCAAATATTCAACCGTAATGTCAACTCAACCAAATATTTCAGACAATAACTAACTTCATAATAAAAATAGTAAACTACTAACGAAAGCGCCCACGGGGTACATTCATCGTTAATCACTACATGTATCACAAAAACTTTTATATGTAAAGATTACTATGCTGATTGTTAGTAAGCATTTATAAAAGAAGAAGAGAGAGCAGAAATCGTAAAAAAAAAATAGAAGAAGAAGACTAAAATAAATTGTTAAAACAAAAAAAAGAAATAACAAAAACAGCTGAGATTTTCTTGTTTTTTATTGAATGATAAAAAAATAGTAAATAAATTAAAAAAAAAAAAAAAGAAAAAAGAAAATAAATTTTCAGATGGACTTCAGTTAAAATGAAAAGCCTAAAAGCATTTTAGTTTGGCTCGTGTTGCCATCGCGTCTATATCGTTTATTTCGTTTCGTCCCATAGATTATTCCATATTTTTCGTCCCCGGAAAAAAAAGTGATTATTTAAATTTTCTTTATTTTTTTTTCAAATTTTTTTCAAAATATAATAATTTTGTAATAAAAAAATAAACTTAAAAAACTAATTTCAATTCTTCTGTCAAAAAGTTGAAACAAAATTTTTAAATTCAAGCAATAAGAATAATATTGAAATTTTCATTCAAAATAAGAAATTCTAGAAATTCAACATTTTATTTAAATTAGAGATTAATTATAAAATCAAACTGTTATACAGCAGTTGTAATAATTAATTAAAAAAAAATTTATAATAGCTATGAAAATTTTTTTGAATTCGATAATTTCGATTCGATTATTATAACAAAATTGTGAAGTGTGATATGACATTGCATATTTATTAAACGGGATTATTTTGTCGTATTTAAATTGAAATTGAAACAAAAGAGAGAAAATATAAAAGAAAATTAAAAATGCATTTGCATGCAATGTGCCACTTTTTCTCTTATTATGCTTTGAAATTTTAAATATGTACTTATTTTTTTTTTTTCTCTTTCGATTACAAAATTAATTTTATTTCTTAATTGTATATAATATACAACAATAATATAAAAATTCAGGTGAGACGATATTATTGAGACAGGTTGTTTATATGTAGATCGTGGGTGAAATATGTAAATTAAAATTTATTATCACATGTTTATTGGTTTATATAGAAAAGTTTTGTACTTGCAATAATAATAATTATTCGACATTTATAGTTTGAAATACTTTTAATTGTGCGAATGGTTTTTTTTTTAGTGTAATTTTTTACTTAGTAGTTATTTCTTTATTTTCTTTAAACTAATTTAAATTAACTGGAACAATAAATTATATTGATTTATTTAATTGCAATTATTGATAATATTTTATAGAATAATTTTTATATATAGAAATTGCATGTTACATGCAATAATTAATTGATTACATTAAATTATGACAAAATTATTGGTATATTCATTTGATTCTTTATAATTTTTTTTTGTAGTATGTAGAAATTAAATGAGAATGTTGTTTTATTCGAAATATTACAAAAAAAAATATTAATTATGAGTTACATTAAGAGTAGATGAATTTATTGTAATTAAATTGCTTATAAGTTCTTTAAAATAAATCATGAGTCATCACCAGTCTATGAAGTTATATGAAATGTAAATAATACCATGGATATTTTGAATTCTTCATATAGCATCTACACATATAAGTGGCTTCGACAAGATTTAAAAATCTTGTGCATTAAAGCGACAAAAGCGAAACAATGTTGGCTTATTACTGACCACACGACAATCTACTAATTGTGTATGTGTATACATATAAATTCAAAAAACTACTTTTTAGTAAGTGACAAAACAAAAACATCGTTATCAATCGACTATCTGACTGGTTGGAATAACACCTAATCCTAATTTACATGAATAAAGATAACTATATGAGAATTAAGTCGATTTTTCGATCCAAGTACTACATAATAAATAGTCGCATATGCTGCGCACTATATGTGGTTTCATAATGAGAACTGTACTGTCAGTAGTTCTAAACGTTCATAGTTTTGCAGTACATCGGAATTCGTATAGAAATTACAGAGATCTTGTACTAAAGAATATATAATTATTACTTTTTCTAGATAGATTTTGTACTTGTCTTGACAACTTTGCAAATCAACTAATTATCATAATTTAATTAGATAAATTTTTTTTACTTATAACTTTTTATTAGCATAATATTTAATTTAAATACATAACAGTTTTAATTAAAATATGTAAGAAAATATCAAGTAGAAGAACAGTAAACAAATTATCACAAACCAGAAAGAACAGGCATCTAACATTATCTGCACTTGTTTCTATTAAAGAAACAGGTGCAAAGAACGTTAGATCCACTTAAGTTGCATATTAAATTAATTATTTACATGTCAAATACAATTGATAATTTAGACCAAATTAACAAGTAAGAATATTTTCCCATACTCTGTACAAAAACTCTCGGCAAACATTCTGCCAGACAGTTTCTAGACCCACAAATAAATTTACATACCAATCGCACTAACATTGAAGAATAGTTTTGAAAATTTTTTGCTAATGCATTTGAATATCCGCATTTCATTATCAAAATTGTCTATACCAGAAGTTATGACAGGAACAGTTTTCGCCAACTTCTTAAAATAACTACGTGACTCACATTCAACTCATGGACTATGGATTGAATATGCCTTGTTTTTATCCTTCCTTACTGTAGTTCATGACCTAAATGAAAAACCATGGGTTATCTAGAATCCTAGTATTTAATAGGTAAACACAAGATAAAATTAAAATCCAGGAATATCACAAACCATTAATCGATTAATACACGTAGCAGCTATATATTATGCAATAACCCTTATGAAATTTATTAATAATCAATTGAATAATAGTTTTCACTTCTTATCAACATAGAAAAATTAAAATTAATATTTACCTTTATTTTAATTTGAACTCATAATGTTATGACCCGAATGTAACAACTAAAATTATAGGGTTTTTAAGTACTCCCACGAAAAATAAATTTAAAAAAAATTTTTTTTTGTTTTGAAAATTTACCAAAACGATTACAACTTAATAGAAAAATATTTTTTACTAGACAACATATTATAAATTTGTCCAAAATTTTTCGATCTCATACTAGAAATTAATCTCTTTGGATAACCATTTTGAACTCTTTTTTTTAATATCAATATATAAAGATACAAAAATTGACATGTACATGATATCGAAAATTCCAATAGCAAAAAATTGCAACATAAAATTGTATAAATTTTTTTCTTTTAGCACAATTTAAAAAAAATTGTGAAAAAATATTTAGTTGTTTAATTTTCTTCGTTTGTCCGTTCGTCTTCACAACAGAGCATTTTTTATTTATAAGCCTATAATAATGACTCATATGTATAATCCTATAGGTGGAAATAAGGATCGCTTAAGTTACCAGTGAGGAAAGCCAAGCTAATTGTCGGTCACTCGGCTGCCTCATTGCCGACGCACGATCCCAACATTTCTGCTGAAGACGCCTCATCTGTTTCAGTCCATACGCCTTCATATGACAACTTGACAGCCCTCAGAAAAGTTCGGGCCCGACAAAAGGCATCGTCGCTCACCATGTTGAAAGCATCTGCTCTTTTGTTGCCATATATACCGCATGCGCCGGGATCTACGGTGGAATAACAATATTCCTTCACCAAATTCCATTTTGGATTGGTAAGAGTCAAGCGGCCGAATCGGTACCTGCCTATACGAGATTATGTTAATACTTTTGTTCACATATTCCGTACGAATGTTTTCACGTACACAAAGGTCTAAAGCAAAGACTTCCGCTTGGAATACCGTTAAAGAGACCCCAAAGCTTCTGGATAGCATAAAGTGCGGTATCAGTTCAAAGACGCCTGATCCAATTCCTTCTGCAGTTTTGGATCCGTCCGTATTAAGAAATACCGCCCATACCGATATTTTGTTCTCCCAGCTTTCCCTGCTACGAAACACCACCTTGAATGCATTGCCACAGTTTAATTTGAGAAAGTTTTCCTACTTTCCTATGCGTCCGAAAATTTCTCACCAAGTAATATATTCCAAGTTTATATATCTATTTAATATTTCTTCGAATTGTTAATTCAAATACTTTTTTTTCTCACTACTCGCAACAGTGTATAATAGATGTGCTTCTCTGCAACTTGTTAATTTACTTCAAACTTATTTATTTCATAACAAAATTTTCTTTCACATTCTGTGAAATTTCATTCAATGAATTACTTATGCGATAGCAAATATTTTTCCATATATATGCACTCATATTAAAGTACATTTATTTATACATCGATCTAGGTAATAAGGAAATAAGATTTGATTTTTTAAGGTAAAATCTCATCCTTCTTACCCTTGTTGCTCTTTGATACATAAAGGTACACTAATAAAATTTTTGTTTTCATTCACCAAAAAATATTTCACACTGATTTGATTATATTTTATAATTTTAGAGAGAGATTGAAAGAGAGAGCATAGGTTACAGCATTTTTGATTATAGCCTTTTTTTTTTGTGAAAAATTAATATGAGCATGACGATAATGTCGAAATGGGATATATAGTGAAAACTACTTGTAACAACTAATAATCTATCATCAAATTATTAAAACAAATTTTTTTTAATTTATTTTGGTTACTAGTATATAATTGCAAAAAAAAAACCAAAAATTTAATATAGATTTTCTGTAAATTTTTGTATGATCAAAACGATTACCAAAAATTGCTTAACAAAATGGTTTTTAAACCTATCCATTATTATATAAGAATTCTTCATACTCGTATACACAAATAATATTGATTTTAATTGGATAAACAATAGTTTCTATTTAATTTTTCATCTTATTTAAAAATTTACAAAAATTGCTACGTTGAATTAAGTAATAATTGCTCAATTAATTTGGTAATATTTTGCGATGTCGCAAAACCTTTAATTCCCTTCAAATAGCAGGCGAACTTCAACTAATTTGTTTTAAACATAAAGCGGGATATAATAGTCTCTGACATTTGATAGTTAAAATTAATCAGTAATTACTATATTAATTTTAATTTAGCGTACAACAAAATTTTTGACAATAAATTTAACTTTATGGGTGTTAAAAAGAGCTCCAGGAACAATAGCTTCTCTTTCTCTTTATGAACTACTTATTTTTGCACTAAATAGACTTATACTTCTTTGAACATCCTCCACAGATCTATGGTAATATTACAACTATTAAACCACTTAATTTAATAACAATAATAAAGGCCTTCATATTTTCGTAATTAACGAAAACATGGCAACCCTGTAATTTTTGAATTAATTAAATACAAATTTTCGATTAAATTTTATAATTCAATTCGCAATATCATCTTTGCAAGCTACGAGTATTAAAGGAATTTTAAATTATTGGTTTATCTTAAAAGTAATTAAAACATTTAATGCGTAGATGCGAATAAGATGTACTTACATGCGATGTAC